ACCCATGAACCTCCAAGTAGAGCCTCGTAAAAACCAAACCGGTCCATGAAGCCCGGAAGCCCAACACATCACAAGCAGCCTCCCGGGGTATCATACAGCCTGGGAGCCGGAACCCAATACTCCAAGTCCAAGGCTTCCTAAACCCCGAGATGTCGTAAACCCCGAAACCCTAAAGTAGACATTTCAAGCTTCAAAACTTTAGGGTTTACCGGTTCAATAGTTTTGACAGGGTTCAGGAGTGCAGAGGTTTCAAAGAATATTGAAGCGGACTCTTGTCATAGGGGTCCCCACCGCTGTCTTGATCGCCATGAGGCGCCGTCGTGCGGTGTCCAGATTGACCTTCGCTGCAGTACCCTTAATCATGGGACCAAATCACTCGTGAAAAGCATGGAGGCCAGATCCCTTACCATAGATCTGATGATCGTTTTGAAGATGCATAGGGGTTGTACGCACGTGTACACACACACATATATATATATATACACACACATACATACATATATACACACAAACACAAGCGCACACACATACACATGTATCTTCGCGTGGCTATGGTTTTCCAACCACCGCATACAATTGTCCTTCATGTTACACCTCCTGATTCCTGAGCCCTAATACCAAACTTACACCAAACCCCACACCCTAAGCCCTAAACCATGCACCTTCGCCCTAAACCTTAACATATGAAACTCTGGAACCCTACAAAACACATTAAAACCGCTAAAACCCTAAACCCCCGCATGCCTCGCCCTCAGCGCCCTCGCGCTCGCACTCCGCGATGGCGGCTTCGAGAAGTGAGGCCTTGGCAAAGGCGAAGAAGGATCCGGATGCTACTGGATGGGGCTTAAAGGGTCGACGGGTCTTAAGGTCGTAGTATGTCGTAGTTAATTTGGGTCTGAGGGTTCCAGGGTTGAGGGGCTTTAAGGTTCGGGGCATTCGGGTCTAAATGTTAGATGTGGGTCCTCTTGAAAAAATGGGGTGTCCCTGCTTTGGCCGTTACGTATAGCATGCTGTTGTTCTAAAAGGGCTTGATAACGTTTATCGGACCTTCACAGTGGTGACCTCTGCGGTACGGAGTTTCAAGGCTCTGGATGTCGGTTTGCAGGGGATAGTTGGCGGTCTGCCTACTTCACGATTGATCTCCATTCCTCGGAGGTCTGTCCTAATTGCTAGCGGTCGCTTGTAGCCTAGACAAGCCCCAAAACCTTGAAGCAGGCAAAAAGCAAGAACTCTGGTGCCGCCTTGCGAAAATAGAGTTGTCGTGCTTCCTCCGAATTCCCTCCGAATCTTGATGATATTGTCTGGCAGTTATACTGGTAAGTTGATGATAAACCTGGTCACTATCCCAAGCTGTGAACGCGTCCAATCTTGGGACCCTGAACTCTTGGGCCTAGTTGCCTTGCTTGAGCCCTATAAACCGAAACACCAAACCGTGTAACTTCCGAGCACCGTGCGCTGCCCGAGTCGAGGGCCACCTGCAGTTTGGGTTTAGGCGTTGAGGCTACGGTTTAGAGTTTAGGGGTTTAGGGGTTTAGGGGTTTAGGGTTTAGGGTTTAGAGGTTTAGGGTTTAGGGGTTTAGGGCTAAGGTTTAGGGTTTAGGTGTCAGTCTTTGAACAGTCTTTGAACCGCGAGGAGCCTTGCCCGAACCGATGCCACTCAACCACAAGAGGGATATGTATGGTCTCTCAGTTCAGCCTACTCCAGGGGCCTCAAGAATTGGAATAGGGTTTTGGGGCCCATTATGCATACTATACTTATTATTAGGAGCCCCGAAAATAGCATTGGT